AGATCCCCTGGAGGAGAGGGGACTCCAGTATTCTTGCCTGGAAAATCGCCATGGACAGAGGAGCCTGATGGGCTACAGTACACAGGGTCGCAAATAGTCGGGCACGGCTGAAGCAACTTAGCATGCAAACACACACAATTTAATTAACAATAATAAATAAAGGACTTCCTTGGTGGTCCAGTGGTTAAAACTCTGTTCTCCCAATGCAGGGGACACAGATTTGATCCCTAGTCAGGTTACTAAGATCCTGCGTGCTGCACAGCCTGGCCATTAAAAAAAAAAAAAGAAAAAATAATACTAATTTCTGACATTTTACCATTTACAGAATGGTCTTGCATATGAAATATGGGTAATAGATAATGGGTAATGAGCTGAGAGGCTCATACATTTCATATCTGAGAAAACTTGAGGTACATTCTTGCCTAAAGTAGAATTCAAAATTGGATCTTGCTCTGATTCCAAGTAATTTTTCCAACTCATGTCTTTTTCATAGTTGATTTATAGCAGAGTTGATGCTATTTATAGCAGCATCCAATAAAATGAGTACAGTGCCTTTTTAAAGGACAGTGTCCATATTTGGGCTTCCCTGGTGGCTCAGAGGGTAAAGGATCTGTCTGCAATGCAGGAGACCTGGGTTCAGTCCCTGGGTTGGGAAGATCCCCTGGAGGAGTGCATGGCAACCCACTCCAGTATTCTGGCCTGTAGAATCCCCATGGACAGAGGAGCCTTGGGTTGTAAAGAGTTGGACATGACTGAGCGACTAAGCACAGCACAGCACAGTCCATATTTTACTGGAAATAGTGAAGTTTTCAAAGGAGAAAAGTTGTTACAAGTCTGTCACCCTTTTCTTTACATCTTTTAAAGTTTCAGAATGAACTCTTTTCCTATTTTTTTTTTTTTGTTTTTTTGTAAATACAAAGGGATGTATATACAAGGGATGTAAATACAAGGGATGCTGCCTCCAGTTGGTAGCAGTGTAATGTGATTATATATTCTGAATGTTGTGTAAATTTACTGAGATTCAAGGAGTTGCTGTCTATTCAGGTTTGTCCACTTATTTACTCAAGTGGACATTGAGCATTGCTAGGCACGGGAGTTAAGAATGAAATTTTTATTCTTTATATGCTGTTTCATTCAAATTTAAAATTTAACCAAATTTTAAATAAATGCCATTTAACGTATTTCCCTCCAAATTTAGTAATACAAATATATTTATTTTCACCAATCCTTTGTCATTCTTTTAGTAAGCCATTCTGACTTTAATTATATGTATAGTTCCTGGTGACTGCATTTAATCTTAATGTGTTTCGACTAGATGAATATAGTTCCATGTGCTTATATATATTCTTTTTCAGATTATTTTCCCTTATAGGTTATTACAAAACATTGAATATAGCTCCCTGTGCTATATAATAGATTCTTTTGTTTATTTTATATATGAAAGTGTATCTGTTACTCCCAAACTCCTAATTTATCCCTTTCACCCTTTTCCCTTTGGTAACCATAAGTTTGTTATCTATGTCTGTGAGTCTATGTCTGTTTTTTTTTTTTATTTTAAGAATATTTACTTTTTATTTATGCTATTAAGTCATGACAATTAAAAATGTAAATACAAATATTAAAATTATTCAAGGTGTTGCTTCTTTCCATTCGGTATCACCTTTCCAAATAGGCAGCATTACCATTCCCACTTCTGCACTGGCTTCTCCAATCTCTGCCACTTCAGTAGGCACCGCTGCTGCTGGTTTTCCTGGGAACCGTTGTATCACCATCTTAGCTAAGCAATATCACCAGTTTCATTGGTTGCTGCTGGTGATGCATTGGGCAAATACAGAGGATAATAGATCATTAGAGTGAAATGTTTCTTTTATATTTGAATTGCTGTCATCTATAATTCAAACAGAATATGTCTGTTTGGTAAGTAAGTTCACTTGTATAATTTTTTAGGACTCCACATATAAGTAATATCATATAATATTTATCTTTTTCTGTCTGACTTCACTCAATCTGATAATCTCTGGGTCCATCCATGTTGCTCCAATGGCATTATTTCATCCCTTTTTATGGCTGAGTAATAGTCATATATAGATAGATAGATAAATAGAGAGATCTCACATCTTCTTTATTCATTCATCTGCTGATGGGCATTTAGGTTGCTTCCATGTCTTGGCTATCGTGTATAGTGTATTGTAAACATGGGGGTACATGTATCTTTTCAAATTATAGTTTTCTCCAGATATATGCCCAGACGTGGGATTGCTGGATCATATGGTAACTCTATTTTAAGTTTTTTAAGGAACCTCCGTGTTGTTCTCCATAGTAGCTGCGCCAGTTTATATTCCCATCAAGAGTGTAGGAGAGCTCCTTTTCTCCACACCCTCTCCAGAATTTATTTTTTGTAGACTTTTAATGATGACCATTATGACTGGTATAAGGTGATATATAGTTTTGGTTTGCCTTTCCCTAATAATTGATATTGAGCATCTTTTCATGTGCCAGTTGGCCATCTGCATGTCTTCTTTGGAGAAGTGTCTGTTTAGGTTTTCTGCTCATTTTTCATTGGGTTATTTCTTTTGATACTGAGCTATATTAGATGTTTGTAGATTTTAGAAATTAAGCCCTTGTCAGTTCCATCATTTGCATATATTTTCTCCCATTCTTTAGGTTTTCTTCATTTTGTTGATGATTTCTTGTGCTGTGCAAAAACTTTTAAGTTTAATTAAGTCCCATTCATATATTTTTGCTTTTGTTTCCATAATTCTAGGAGACAGATAAAAAATATCTTTCTGTGATTTATGTCAAAGAATGTTCTGTTTATGTTTTCTTCTAGGAGTTTTAGAGTAACCAGTCTTACATTTAGGCCTGTAATTAATTTTAGTTTATTTTTGTATATGGTATTAAAGAATGTTTTACTTTCATTCTTTTACACATAGCTTTCCAGTTTTCCCAGCACCACTTATTGAAGAGACTATCTTTTCTCCTTTGTATATTCTTGCCTCCTTTGTCATTTATTAATTGGTCATAAGTACATGGGTTTATATCTAAGCTTTCTATGTTGTTCCATTGATCTATGTGCCTGTTTTGTATGTGTGTATGTGCCAGTACCACACTGTTTTGATTGCTATAGCTTTGAGTATAATCTGAAATCAGAGAGTGTGGTTTCTCCAGCTCTGTTCTTTATCAAGATTATTTTGGCTGTTTGGAGTCTTTTGTGTTTCTATACAAGTTGAAAATTTTTTGTTCTACTTTGTGAAAAATGCCACTGGTAGTTTGATAAGGATTGCTTTGAATCAATAGATTGCCTTGGGTGTATGATCATTTTAACATAGTGGTTCTCCCAGTACAAGAACATGGTATATCTTTCCATCTGCTTGTGTCATCTTAAGTTTTTTTCCTCAGCATCTTACAGTTTTCTGAGATTTCTTGCCTTCTTGGTTAGGTTTATTTCTAGGTATTTTATTCTTTTTGATGCCATGGTGAATGGGGTTGTGCCCTTAAATTCTCTTTCTGATAGACATTAGCATATGGAAACAGCAGATTTCTGTGTATTAGTTTTGTATCCTGCAACTTTGCCAAATTCATTGATAAGCTCTAGTAGTTTTCTGGTGGCATCTTTAGGATTTTCTATGTGTAGTATCATGCCATATGCAAACAGTGAGTTTTACTTCTTCCTTTCCAATTGGGATTCCTTTTATTTCTTTTTCTGATTGTGATGGTTAGGACTTCCAATACTATGTTGAATAAAAGTGCTGAGAATGGGCATCCTTATCTTGTTCCTGATCTTAGAGGAAATGCTTTCAGCTTTTCACTGTTGAGTGTGTTAGCTGTGGGTTTGTCCTGTATGGCCTTTATCATTTGAGGTATGTTCCCTCTTTGCCCACTTTTTGGAATTTTTAAAGTCATAAATAGATGTTGAATTTTATCAAAAGCTTTTTCTGCCCCTATTTCAGAAGATCATTTGTTTTTTATTCTTCAGTTTGTTAACATGGTGTATTACATTGTTACACCATATCAAATCAATACATTGATTGATTTGTGGATATTGAAAAGTCCTTATGTCTGTGGGATAAATTCCACTTGATCATGATGTATGATCCTTTTACTGTATTGTTGGATTCAGTTTGCTAGTATATTGTTGAGAATTTTTACCTCTGTGTGCATTAGTGATATTGGCCTGTAATTTTCTTTTATCTTGTAATAACTATAATGGATGAGAATCTGAAAAAGAATATATGTACATTAAAAACCAAATCACTTTGGTGTACACCTGAAGCTCCCACCACATTGTAAATCAACTATACTTCAATTAAAAAGAAAAAGACTAATTGGACCTTTAACTGGTAGATTTTTACAGTTTTCAGGCTTTTAGGCTTACTTTACATATAAAAATGAAAACGCTTTTTTCCCCCCTGGGTTGAATGTTTTCCATAGTGAGCTCATTCTGCTTTTGCAGCAATGACAAATCATATAAAGTAAAAAGTGAAAATCGTCAGTATTATACTGCCAAAGGAATACATTGTATGCTTTGTTAAAGTATCTTAAATTTTATTTTATTTAAAAATTTACTGAAAATTTTAAATTGTGGGAAAATTTACATATGTTAAATTTACCATCTTGACTAGTTTTTAAGTGTGCAGTTCAGTGGTGTTAAGTACATTCACATTGTTGTGTAACCAGTCTTCAGAACTTTTTCTTATCTCACTGAAGTGCTATGTCCATTACAATTCCCCTCTCCCCTCCTACCAGCCTCTGCAACAGCCCTCTACTTTCTCTTTCTATGACTTTATCTACTATAGATATCCCATGTAAGTGGAATGATGCAATATTGTGTCTTTCCATGACTGACTTATTTCACTTGTTAGATAATGTCCTCAAGATTCATCCATATTGTAGCATGTGTCAGAATTTCCTTCCTTTTTCTCACCGTATGCTTTTCAAAAAAAAAAAAAAAAAGTATTAGCATATTATTCCTATTTTTTAAACCTAACAACACATTGCAGGTATCTTCTCAAGAACATCAGTATTTATATACCATTGTGTATGTATCATTTCCATTGCTACCAAGAACAGTGTTCCTGTTCCACAGATGGGGAAAATAAGACCTGGAGGTGAGTGAGTACCTTTCAGTTTACAAGTAACAATGGCAAGGACTAAAATTCAGTTTTGCTTGGTTCTAGAGGCAGTTGAAGCATGGTTTGTATAGACAAAGGATGTGATTATTGTAGAAAAATGAAGCAGTTTTAAAGACAAATTTCTTTGGTAGCTAAAGGACCTGATGTGTGCTTTTATTAATGGAACTTGGATTTTATAGTTGCAGCAGACACAAATATGTGTCTCTGGAAGCATCTTCCAAGTATTATACTGCATTACATTTTCTCTTAAATCAGTTATATCTGTGTTAAGAATGCGTATTTCTAAGAAGGCAGCAACTATGCTAATCAGAAGTGTATTTTCAGTGGCCTTTTGAAAAGCCAGAAATAAAAGAGCAGAGAGAAAATTATCTGCTTCTCATCTGAAGGATAATGAAAAGTGAAAATCGCTGAAACCCTCAGTGAGTTACATCAGATATCATAATTAATGTATATCAGATATCATAATTATGTAATCACATAATTACATAATTAATGTAAATAATTAATGTAGCTCTAAAAATTTTAGAGCTAGAAAAGTACCAAAATAATCTAAACCTACTTCTTAATTTCATAAAAATGAGGTGCTGTTGTGAAATAGCTATCCAAAGTAGTTGACTATGCACTTAGTCTTGAAATCTAAGTTTCTTATTTCTCAAGAATTCTCTTTCAGCTACTGTTGGTGAATGGGGTCAGATTTTTCCATACCAAGCTAGCTGTTATTTGTATTTTATACTCTGAGTGTACTTTGTACAAAGTTTCCTGGCTTATAGTATAATTGAGGTGATTTAGAGGTCTTAATGATTTCCATTTTTATATAATTTTTGAGGGCTATAGATGAACGTGGGTTGGAAATGTTTTTGTTACACTGTGAAAATAGTTGACTTCTTACAAGTTAATTCAGTATTTATCACTAATTCTAACATGATGGACAGTGAACCTGTAGTGTGGGCTGTCAAGACTAGATGTTACTCATACCATTAAAATGAAGGGACTTGGAATAGAAGTTTTCTTGAATTTCCCACCCTGATCCATCAAGCTGTTGTTGATGGAATCCATTACCTTTGTGAATTTTGTTAATGGTAGAGACCTAACTGAAAATCACTTCTTTCAAAGAAAGGTCAAATTAACTGTAGTCAAGATTATAGAACCGGGCTGGCAGACTATAGTCCGAGGGCCACCTGTTTCTTCAAGCTAACAATATTTTTTAAAAATATTTTAAGTGGTTAAAAAAAACAAAAGAAGAAAAAATATTTCATGATACATAAAAATTATAAAAAATTTAGTTCCACAGTCTATAAATAAAGTTTTATTGGAATAGACTACATATACTCATTTGTTTATGTGTTGTTTATGGTTACTTTTGCACCAAAATGGCAGAATTGAGTAGCTGTGAGAGACTGGACGGTCCCATGGAATCTAAAATATTTACTGTTTGGTGCTTTGTAGAAAGAGTGCTGGCCCCTGTTAAAACATCAAGGTTAGTTTATGTTTGGAGTACATATGGAAATTTGTGACTTTCTTTGCTTACCAAAAACTCTAGCTGAGTAATGCTACATTTTTTGAAGGATTCTCCACTGTGTTTGTTTGTTTTTTGTCTCTGGGACAACCCACAATAATCCATTCATGACTATTTTTCATGACTTCCTTTGCTTATTTTCCAGTGGTTCCTTTTGCCAGCCAGGTGAACAGACTGAAACCACACAGGTCTGTGGTTTTTCTAAAGAAGCTTTCTACAGGAGGATATGTTTGACTTGGGCATCTCTCTGTTTGTTGTAGAAACCTGGATTTGCTTGTGATCTTTCCACTAGAGCTTTGATTCAAGCATATATAAAATGACCCTCACTTTCAAAGTATAAAATTAACAAATGCATTTATTGTTAGATCCATATTTATGGGAAGAAGATCTTAATCTTTCATGTTTTTACCAGCCATTTTTTTTCCACCCTGCATCTCCCCCTCCTTTACCAGGCATTTTAATAATGTTAGTTATATTTCTCATGACTCTTAACTCTATGTCAGGGTTAGTTGATGGATTTCTCACTGGTTTAATTTAAACCTTTAAACTGATGTCTCTTTTTACAATACTGTTCTGACAGAATAAAAACATCAGTGGTATTCCACCTCTTATAAAAGTTATTTTCCCCCTCTCTCCAGCTGTGGTTACTTGATATCATTTTTTTTTTTTGAGCTCATGAAAGCAGGGAGTGACCCTCCTACTTCATAAGAGGTCTGAGTTTTGCAGCTACTGAGAGCTTTGGATCCTGCCACCATTGACCTTATTCTTTTCAAATATAGCGGAGAAGTTGTCTATCTAGAAATAATCCCTATCTCAGGGTTTGTAGTTGCGTAAAGTAGATCTTCTGTCAGGTTTCACCTTGCCTTTGGTCATAATTGTGCTTTTGTGGTGGGTGAGGATGATTGTTAACTTTCTTGAAGAATATATAGCACTGGTCTTGGTCCATGGTATTGAGTGGAACAGTTCCTGTCCTATTTTGTTATCTGGTTGGTGCTTGATGCTGCTGTGTCTTAGTTTATTAAACATTTTGAAGTATGGTGAGCACACTCATGCAAGGAGATGGGCTAATGCTGTTAGAATTTTCTTCAGAGAACCCTTTTGCAGTGGAGTCTTCTCACATATGGGAGGGACTGTGCGATAATCATGCAAACCTGTAAGCAATGAAGGATGGCAGAACATGAAAAGGAAATACTGAGGCTGATGCAGGCTGGAGTGTGTTGGTAGGAAGCATGGATAAGCAGTGACTTCTTAGGTAACCTTTGTTCTCCCTCAGAGTAGATGGAAATTGGAATGAGGCATACCGTTAAGGCGTTTTCACTTAATGACTTGGTGAGGAGGATGAGAATAGAGACGGGAGGGAAAACCCCATCTTTTCATTTCTGGAATAACAGAGTGAGCATTTGTAATCCAAACCTGGGCCTGGGGTTTTAAAATGTGTGATAAAGTGAGTTATTCTATCAGTTGGAAATATGATGTAAGATATTATGGTTCAATTATGGTAAATGGTATTCAGGTTTAAGAGGAAAGTGTAAAGCGAGAGCTCTGTTCATTCTCTTTCTCTAAGGAGGTGAAGGGCTATGGGCTCACATAGCAGGAACTACTCCAGATAGGAAGGCCATGATGAGGAAAGCGAGGACATCTGTGTTTCAACCCTGAGCTGTCATCTGTAGAAAGCTTGGCAATTCCTCTCCAGTCTGTCTCAGTCATGTTTTGGAAGGAGGGGTCACGTTCAGAAGCTTTATTGCTGGTACCCAGAGCTGGTTGTCCTAAGAGGTATGATCTACCAGACCATGAACTCATCAGTAAGCAGGGCCTTCAACCAGTTGTTTCTGTTGTGTTTTGTGAATGTTTGTATTTGTCTGCTCACCCCTATGCTGAGTTACTAGGGCTTGTCTAGAGAGGAATAGTGTCTGAATGTTTGGAAAAATTAGACATTCAATGTAAATGCCCTAGATTTCGACAATACCTGCTAGGTTGCTGGTTTCCCACCCTTAAGGTGGGGCTGTTCCCAACACCCTAGCACAATGGAGGAGGGGGTGACGTGGGCTGGAGGAAAAGGAAGAGCTCCCTGCTGGAAGTCACTTCAGTTTTCTCATCCAGCTATAATTGGCTTAAAGTAGAATCCTGTGTTGTTAGAGTTGCACAGGGTTTTAGCGATCATTCAGTTCAACCTCCTCATTTTACCTATGAGGAAAAAGGTAACACACATCTGTAAGTATTCCAGAACTTTTCCAAACCAGAGAGGTAATGAGTAGCAGTGTTGATTCAACAGGTCTGTTTCAGTAATTTTACTTCTTCCGGCTTGGACCATGAAGGGATAGATTATAGCCCGACTCTGGGATGGGGTTTGGGGATGCAGTGTGGGCAGCTCCTGAGTCAGGCAGTTGCACTTAGGACATTTGTCCCTCGGCTGTGGACTGGGAACAGATGGCTTGCACAGAACCTGTGACTCCCATGACTTGTAACTATGTTTTGGGGAGGACTGTGATGTAATTGTTTCTGTGTCTGAGGGGTGCATCTAGGCATACTAGTGAGTCTCCTTTGCTGAGGGTGAGATGAGGCTAGAAAAGACTCTTGGGGAGGAAGGCAGGAGGATCTAGCTGAAGGTGCTGTCCTCCTGAGTAAGCTTTGAAGTTACAGTCAGAGGAAACTGCTCAGCCTTTTTAGAGGCCAGATAAGTCGTATCTTCTGTGACATTTGGAAACTGAAAAGTAGAGGGGGAAGGAGGGACTTGGTGGTTGCTGGGAGAGTGGGGTAGTACACAGTACAAGTCCTTTTACGGTTATAACTGTCTGCACTTGAGTACTTATTTCTGCTTAACTGGCTAGTGCAACTCTCATTTTAAGCTATCACAATGACTTTAAAAGACACTTACTCCTTAGAAGGAAAGTTATGACCAACCTAGATAGCATATTAAAAAGCAGAGACATTACTTTGCCAACAAAGGTCCGTCTAGTCAAGGCTATGGTTTTTCCAGTAGTCATGTATGGATGTGAGAGTTGGACTATAAAGAAAGCTGAGTGCC